AGAAGGTCAGGTACCTTCTTTTTACTGTTTGTGCTGGCAGATGCAGTCACAGCCTTTTGGGCTGATAAAGCTAAGATTTGGGAGGTTAATTGTAATTCATGGATAAATGGTGGCTAGATTAATGCTGCCTGCTTATTTTCACTACAAACTCGAGCTCAAGTCTCCTGGCAGAATGCAGGAGCTATCGATGTGGTAACTCCATGTACCAACGGAATTGGATCTCTGAAATCCAAGAACCTGTCATCCCATGGAGTAAGGTGTTACTACAGCACTATAAAACAAGGCAAAATCTACTACATTCTAGCAATCAGGCTATTCAATCAGAAGCTTTTTTACACTTTTCTGTCCTGAGCTGTGTTCCAGCTGCAGGTTTGAGAACCACTGTGGCTGCCAAAGTGACATTTGTATCTATGCTGGCAAGTCTCTTTTAGTGATAAGCACTTTAATTAGACATGACATAATTATGATACAACTGCTTTTGGTCCAGTTTTAGGACCAAGTCCCACTATTTCTATATGCATTTCCAAGCAAATTAAAGCCCAGTCTGAGTATGTGCTCCATCCCTGCTACTTGATATCCGTTCAAATGAAGGGAGACTCCAGCAGTACATGGTCACTCCCTGCAGTTTGGAGCTTTCCTTTTCACAGTCCAAGAGCAGCAAGGGCAGACCTTATTTCTGAGTGTCCTTGGCTGCTGTCGCTTGCGGTGCTTCAGCTCCTGCACTTCTCTCCTGGGAGAACATGATGGCACTGACTTAATGGGGGTAAATGGGAAGATGAAAGCTGCTCGTTTTCTGTGCGTGGTGAGGGTGAATCTCTGGTCATGAATTCAGAGGCAGCCTTCTGCTCTGAGTGCTGACAGTGATGTTGGTTGATGGCATTAAATAAAGCTCCTAAAGAGATTGTGTAGAGTGGCAAGGGAGAAAAGGAGGGGAAAAAAAAGTATTTATTTACCAAATTCTAAAATGGTAAAATGGAGGATTTTCAGGAATGAGAATGATGACCAGCTTTAATGTGCTTTTGAGTGGCTTACGTTTTGAAAGGTGGCTTTTTTTTGGAAAAAGAGCTGCAAGCTCCAGACATCATTTTTAATGAGTATGCAAAATACTGGCTGTAGTATTTGCAACGCCAGTCATGAACCAGTGCTATTGGAGGCAGTCTTTAAAAATTAAATAGTTCTGCCTTCCAGCTTTGTAAAAATGATTGCTGTATTTGATTTTTTCCAATAATTGTATCCTTATAAAACTTAAATGCTTTAAGCCAAATAGCGTGCATTATGGTCAGGCCAAAGAATTGGAATATCTGTCAAATAGAAAGAATGAGAATTTCAGCATCTTGTTTCCAAAATAGTTGTACATACTTCTTGCTTCCTTCATGTGCCCTTGGCAGTCAGTCAGCTATAAGACTTCTTGAGCACCATTGATGTGCTCTGAAAATATCCTCTGCACTTCGTAAATCGTTAAGAGGATGAATTATGGAAATGACAGTGGATAAGGAAGAGAAGCAAAGATGCACATTCACTTGGGACATTGCCTTGAGGCTGGTGTCATTTGTTGGTTGGATGGTCTTTGAAATAGAGGCATTAGAGGGAATAAGTTGTAGCGAGCAGATCAAATATCTCGTTTATAGTCATACTCATCGCACAGAAAGAAAACAACATCAAATATTATTAACAGGTGGTCTAGTGGGAAGGCAGCAGTAAACAATACTTCCTAAAAGTGGGTAATTCCTCTCTCCCTAATGGGCCACATTCAATTTTTAAAATGCACATCATTATTTTTTATGACATCATAGTTTATTTTTTGTTTTGTTTTCCCTAGCTGCATATGATTTAAAATGAAAACAAGCAAAACCCTAGTCAGTCATTAAAAAAAAAAGGTTACTTGTTTGTTTAAAAAAACCCAACAAAAAACTTTTGATTATTTATACTTTTTTTTTTTTAATTTAAAAATTAAGTCCCAATCTAACAGCAGTAGGGATTTTGTTTAAAAGAAATACAAGAGAAGAAAAATCAAAAAATGATGTGGAAAAACCCCCACCAGTGGAATGGGTAAATGGGCTCCGTGCTGATCAAGGAGCACGCTCTAGTGGCAGGTTAATCCAGCATGGCCTTCTCGGGTGCCCATCCTCCACCTTCACTGGTATTAATCAGCTTCTTCAAGAAAGTGACATTTTCACAGAATCTTATTAAATTTACCATTTCTGTTGCTCTCCAGTGCCAAAGTAAGTGCAATGTGTTTACATGTGGCATCATCACATGTATTGGTGGTAGTGAGATGAAATTCCTGCTCTCTAATTAATTTTGCAGTGGGGAAGTATATGTCTATTTTTGCAGATGGTTTTTAAATGCATAGATATTTTAAGCTGCAGAGGGGACGACTTCATGCTCACGATGCACAAATTCTTATGGAGTGTGAGCATTTTAGTAACAGACACAGTTGTTAAGCCTGCCTGTTAGCATCACATAAAATGTTGGGCTCTGAAGCCTTGCACATTTTTGCAGTGTTTTCTGTTCTAGTCCTCTCCCTGAGGCTGGAAAATTTCTTTACTCCTTCCTTTCTCGTTCAACTTTTTTTTTTTTTTTCTGTAATGAGACTGTAGATTTACAGTTTGATTCTCTTCAGATTTCTGAAATACACATAGATAGATACGCATCTCATAAGAAATAAAAATAAAATGCTAAGTAAGTAACTATGAAGCAATCCAGAGCTGAAGAGCAGATATAGTAAGGGAAATTATGCCCTGTGATTATAGGTGAACTCCCTGAGATGGGATTAATTTCATCATGTCACTTGGTAGGAATAGAATTTAATGTGAAGTTTTTATCCTACATCCTTCACTGTATGTGAAGGTTTTTTTTGCTACAAATTCTATTCACATCACTAGCATAAATTAAAAATAATAGATATATATAGTCTTTAAGTAATGTATCTCTGTAGCACATGCAATAATTTTTACTCCTATTTACTAATTTGAAACACTTAAAAAATTATAATTTAGAGGATTCTCTGATGGTCTGCAAGTGCCTGCAGAAGTAGCTGACTATCAGGATCCATCTGAAAAATTACTTTTGTTGCTTAGTCATTCCTAAAAGCCCTGGTAAGTTAGGCCATGCATTTAATTGTTGCTGTTCCTCAGCCCTCTCCGTGCCTTGGCTGAGGTAAGTGAGCAGGTTTCTGCTCTTGTAGGGAGGTTCATGCAATGGTGAATTTCTGTGTTCAGTGTTTTGTGTTTTCTGTGTATGCTCTGTGGAGAGGAAGGAATTCCTCTTGAAGCAGCTCCTGTTGAGGGTGTGGTGGTTCTCTGCTCTCCTGTAGGGCCTCCAGCTTCTTTCTCTCATTTGGCATCATTTTGGGGGTAATTCCACTTATTTACTTGAGCAGAGTTTGTTCCAAAGGAATGAAAAATTCTTAATGTAAACATAAAGTGTACAAGGTTCAAAGCATAAGAGTTGAAACTTACTGCTCTGTCTTGTTTGTTCAACCAGCAGGATCAACATCCCCTTTTAATGACCTTTTGCCTTGGAGTTAAAATTTTATAAGCTTTTTAAACTTTGCTTCTGATTGTTTTTTCCAAATTAAATTTTAGCGATGCAGTTGGCATATACAGTTAGGTTTGTAGAAATGATCAAAGCAGTACATAATAGCCTAGCAGGGAATTAAAACGACATTAATGGAGGGTCAGGACCTTTTCACTCAGTTCTTGTGAACTACTGTCAGTGTTACAGGGAGGACCAGGACACATTTCCAGTCCAGGATGGCTGTTTCATGGTTTTGGAGATTTTTGTCCATTTGGCCATTGGAGGCTTTTCGGGAGGGAAGGAGAAGTTTACTTGATTCTCTTGGGAATTTACACATGGAAAATGATTACTGACAAAAATACCCTGTGGTTCCCCAGTCAAAAGAGGAAAAAAACATTTTCAAGTTTTACTGGGCTTAGCAACAGACTAAATAGCAGAGGGTTTCTTAGAAGTCAGTGGTTGCTTTCAGGATGATGGAAAATCTGAAATGCTAAGTCCTGTTTAAGGCATGTGTTGCCTTCCTCTGTTTTAATCCTAGTATTAAGGAGGTGCTTTGGAAGTTTTAGTGTTATTTGTAATGTATTTTGTGAGCCTTTGTAGCTGGAGTTTAGTACTTAGAAGCTTATTTGTTCTTGTCCAGCTCCTCTTCAGAACTAGCTGTTTCACTATTGAGTGCATCCTGCTTCAAACAGCATTTTTTTGACATGTGGATTCTTTTCTTGTGGTGCCCAGACAGTGTTCCTGTGCTTCTGCTTTCAAATCTCTCCTTAATCCCTTCGTTTACATAAGATCACTTTCTAATGATTTAATCTGTAATGAATATTGTTGGTAGGAATCACCATTGTGCTAATACAGGATCAGTAATTATTCTGATCACAGGTGTATAATGTTTTAATTTTGAAGTCACCTGTAGAAATTAACTTCATGAGGCTATTTTAAGGATTGTTCATATAACTGGCTCTTTATAATTTGTTGGTGCGAAATTCAGCTCCTGAATGGTTACTTTTGAAAACGCTGGATGGTTTGATCATGGCCTTGTGTTTCCCAGTTTTTTATCTTCCTATTGAATAATTTTATTTGCATTGGTTAACACTGCAATATCTATTGCATCAATACTTACCCCTTTGTAAACTTTTTCTGGAGTCTGATAAAATTCCCCTTTGTCAATGTGGACAGACAAAAAGAACAGAAATTTCTTTGAAGCTAATGTGCTGTTCTGTGGTGGGGATTTGCTTTCAACTAAAAGAGTGAGAGAGGATAGAGTTGAAACTGTAATTTGTTTTTTGAATAAATTCCATGTAAATAATCAAGGTCTCTAATTTTTGTTTTTCTTAACTAAACATATATTGTTATCAGTAGGAAACTGAATGTTGTTTTAATTCTTTCAGTAAAAACACTGGTAGAAAAATAGCTTTTTATCCTTTTTTCATCCTTTAAAATAAATATTGATAGAAACTATCATAATATGGTTTGTGTTACAGGTGGTGTAATACCAAGGGCTGTACTGCTGCCACATCACAATTTTGTGGGGTTTCAGAGAGTAGTTCTGGTAAGGACACTCAATGATTTATCTATTTATTTGTCATAAAAGTGGACTGTAGTTTGGTACAATTTAGTATTACGTGCGCTTACAGTATTTGTTAGGTATCAGTTTCTGCAGTTCACTGAATCCTTACATTAAGTGTTCTTTTATTCAGTGGTCTTTAACAGCTCCTTTTGGAGCTGTTAGTGTCTCATGTGTAAATCCATATTCATTTTGTTGAGAGTTATAATGCATCAATTCACAGTATGGAAATATTAATAAATAGACCATTTGTCAAAACACATTATAAAAACTGTATTGTCTCCTTGAAGTGTGGAGTCACTATTGCCTCGGTGTTTAACAGTTTTTTAAAGGGAGTGTAAAATTACTGTATTTTGATTATAGTCTGTTTTTTTCAAGTGCTAGAGTCTTGTCTTTCTAAAGGAAAATACAAGTGTGTGGTTCAGAGGGCAGATATCCAGACTGTGTGTTGTTGTTAGTGTCTTCTAAAATGTGATATGCAGTCATGATTTTGTGGTTGTTTTCTTTAAATGTATGTAATGGCAATCCCTGTATCATTTCCTTTGATTTTGGAAACTTCCCTTAAATATATTTTCTTATCTCTTCCCCATGGCTAGAGTTACAAGGGAGATGAGATTACCTATATTTATTCTAAGGGAAAATTCCTTGTGCCACCAGGCCATCAGCAGCAATGCTCAAGTATTTTGCAAGAGCACAACTGAGCATTTGTTCTTTCATCAGGAGATAACTGAGATCACATTTGTATCTGTAGAATTTTTTAATATATACCATAATTTAACAAATGTCTTGTGGGTGTAGCAGATGTCTTTTCTTTCCCCTGCACCCCCCCTCCTTTTATTTATTTATTTATTTATTTATTTTTAAAATTTGCAATCCCTTAAAATTTTTGGCAAACTTTGTGTGCTGTCCTAGGTCATTAGAGGGCACTCAAAGACAGAGGGAATTTATTTTAACAAACCTTACCTCGCAAGTAGACCCCCACAAGGTAGATTAGGATTTTGCTGATGTTCTTTGTGGCCTTGCAGGGTAGTGTTGCACTGGCTCTGCTCCAACACATCACTTAAGCAGTTGGAGGCAGTGGGGCTGGAATATGTTTAAATATTCTTCTGGATTTATCTCTACCCATGTGGACTTTCTAAAAGCAAGGCGGGGTTCAGAAGAACTTCTCAATGGGGTTTTCTGGTCAAGGAAACAAATAAGGTCTTTGTGTGTTGGAGATACTGAGGAGAGAGAGGGGTGTCCTTGCTTGAGAAGTCTCTGGACTGATTAGTGGAGAAAACAAAAGGTGTTGGAAGTTGTGAGTGAAAAAGCCATTTTTCCCTTCTGCCATGGCATTAGGTTGGTTTATCTAAAATAATTGGGCATGGCACTACTCACACTGTGTGATTTCCAGTCCTGTAAGTCCATAATGCCTCAAGCATGCACCACTCATGCATGTAGGCTTACTTTAGAGTTTCTATGTCTTGGAGTGGCAGAAAATGGGCTTTCAGATTTACAGGAGAGAAATGGCTTTGGGAAGGTTTGAGTAGCATCACTCAAGAATGTTAAATGGAAATTCTGCAAAGTAAAAACATCATAGCTTTATAAATATTGTAAGAAAAGAAAGATGATGGGAGCTCTTTAGAGTCTGAGAAATACTGAAAATTTTTCAAAATGTTGTGAGCAATTTGTGCAGTACTTATTAAAGCATAATGTCATCTGGAGAAGTCATGTATTTCTTAATCTCTATAATCTCTTTATTTTCAAATAATGCTCCCATTACTGGAATTGGGTGAGCAGAATTTTACGTGCATAGAATCTGTTTGAGGTAAGGTAAAGATAACCAGAGACGACGAGCTTCTTTTTGTGAAAAGCCATCCTGTCTAATTTGTTTGACGCTGAACTAGCAGAAGTAGTGACTGTGACTGGTTAATTCTGCAAAAAGCAGGGCAGAGGTCACTTGTGGGACAAGCTGCAGACCATGTCAGTGCAGCTGCCTGTGTAACAGTGGCCTGCAGTTACAGGACAGGGTGTATTTCCATCTCTGCTAATGTTTTAGCTTGACTCAGCAAAACTGGTTTTTCTCCACAAAGCTGTGGTTGTGTTTCCAATTGCATCAGTGGAGGAGCATTTTAATTCAAAATAGCACCTTCTGCTGGAGGGGGGTCCTTATCAGACAGATGAGGTATTGTCAGGTTTTGAATAGTTTGCTTCAAAGGGGATTAATTAAAAAATTAGTGAGAACAGATGTCTGATGTTGGCCTGAGCAGTCAGAAAGTAGAGGAAATGTCCTGGGTTTGAACTCTTTATCTTAATTGGATCCCTTGTGACTCAGCCCATTTGATAAGAGTTTATTCAGTAGAGTCTCCTGCTTCTACTGTACAAAGCCAACAGCTTTAAATTTTAAGGTTTTTATGTATGGGTTAGGCACTCAGGCAAGATTTTGCATACAGCTTGGGAGGATGATGTCTTCAACAAAACAAAAACTTTATATACCACAGGCTGCTTTTTTATATCCAATGTGCTATACAGAAAAGCAAAATAGTGTTCTTTTAAACTACTTTTAAATGTATTTTTGAATGTCATAATATATTAGTGTACAGGTGTGTTCAGGTTCCTTTTACCAGTTAGACCTTCTGTAGAGTACCAAATTAGCAAGAGGAACATTTGGTATGCTGCTTTAATCTTCTCAGATCAACAATGCAATTACTTCTAGAGATGCAGGTGACTTTGCAATGTGTAGGAGCCGTCTGGGGCTGTGTTATGGCAGGCACACTCATCCAACCTCTGGGAATTTTTCCTTTACAGTAGTATAAATATGCCTTTAGACTTAAGCACTGATGAAGTATCAGAACTTGGCATTTATTCAAAGTTGTCCTTAGTGTGGGATAATTTGAGTTAGGCAAAATATTCCAATTTCTACAGGCAAGAAGGGAAGCTTGTTTTTATTTTTCAAGGCTTTCTGTGAAAGAAAAGACTTGTCTTGATGATTCAGATATTGGAACTGTTCCCAGTTTAAAAAAAAAAAAAGTATATTGCAGGGTATGGAAAATCTGGTTAAGGAGGCTGATGACACTGACAGTGTCATGTGCCTCTTCCATGTATTATAGGCATATCACTTCAGCATACATGCTATTCTTTATATTCTGTCAAAAGACCCCTGGTAGAGCTGCATTTTGAGGGGAAAAAAAAGATGCTGAAGGCAGAAGGGGGATCAGCTTAATGTCTAGGCAACTTTTGGAGGCACGAGTGAGTTTTTCATCAAATATATATATGCTTGAAGGGAAAAATCAATACAACTTCTTATTGAACTTTGGGTATAGCTAATACAAATGGAGATGTCTCTGCCAAAATACACAACACTAATACCTAGACAGTGCAGGTTTTGCTCATGAAAACCTCCAGTCAGATTTGAGGTATGGTACAGGGTAGGACGTAGGGATGCAGAAATGGAATGTCTGCATTGAGGGTGGTTCCTATAGCAGAAACTGAAAATTGTATAAATTAAGGGAAGAGATACTTGCAGGCTTGGAAAACAATCTGTCCCGTGTTGCAGAGTTCCTGGGGGAACTGTGTGTGTTTGTCAGAGCTGCCTGTGTGCCCAGCAGGGTCTCGTGTTGTGAGCTGAGTGTCCGCTCCCACAGTGGGACCTGACCGAGGGGCACTGCACTGCCCCTCTGTCCCTTGGCTGTCACCTCACTGCCTCCAGAGCCCTCAAGGGACCATGATGACAGAATGGTGGCCTAGGAATGCCCAGCCTTTCATTTTGGAAAAGTAAAGCAGCACTCTGCCCTAATGACAGAGCCCTGTGGCCCCTACCCCACCTGAGGGCCACCTTTTCCAGGCTGTCTCAGGACCACACTCCTCCCTCCCTCCCTCCTGCCTCGGCTGCTGAGATGTTGCTGGGGTTGCTGTTGCTTTATTCCTCTATCACTTCATGATAGACCACACCAGCATTGCAGCTTGACATGCAGAGCAATGGAAAAAGAGATGGGAATTTTTACATTGGTCTCAGATTGCTGATATTCTGGGTTGAGATGGAGAATAGGATGAGTACGGTGACGATGCTGTGTCACTGCCTAGGACAGAGAATCAGGGCTGTCTGCAGCTGCAGTCTCTCGTGTTCCTGAGTGGCCATGCCCAGTGAAGCTGGCAGGGCTAGATAATGGGTACTCCTTCCCTAATATTTGATTTAAGTTTATCAAATAAGAAGAGCTCTGCCTCTTTGAATACCAAAAATAATGTTTGTCAGACATAGTTTCTTAATTTCTTTATGGTTTTTGAGAGATGTAGGAAGTAGCCACAAAAGGCAAGAACTCCACATCCTGTTCTTCATTAGAAATAATTCTGATATGGCATCTAAGTGATCTAGGTACTTCTGGAAAATTTAGCTGCCTAACTTCAAAGTTCACTTGAAATTAAATTGTGAGGTGCCAAAGTGAATGTAGTTGGTTTTCTGATCCATTTCATAGGCCTTTTTTCTGAAATAAATTTGTAAGTATTAAATTTGTTTTAATTAGCACATCTTTTTTTTTTTTTAAATGAGGAACATCTGATTTAATATTTTTTGCCTGCTAATTGGTCTTTAATTATTGAAAAAAAGCCCCCAGGTGAAGATGGTTTTGTACGGCCCTTTTGCACCTGATGTTGTTTACACTGGTAACTGATTTCTGTAATTTGTCCTCAGACACTGCAGATGGATTATTCCTGAACAAAAATGTACTGTAGTTCTAAGATGGCTTCTTAAAGACTCAGAGCTGTGGTTTGCACTTTTTCATACTGGGGCTGCTTTTGGTTTTATTTAAAAGAATAAGATGGTGTTGTGGGTGGCATTGGTGTAGTGGTATGTGGAAAAGAGGCTTTTTTTTTTGCAGATTAGCAGCCAGTAGGGCAGGGATAGTGCAGGAGTGTGGGAGTAGACATTGCTCTTAGAAGTTCACATGTATTCTGGTTTTGTATTCATGTGACCAGTTGAAGAAACGTGTTATTTGGGACTCTTGGTTTGG